GAAACGCCTCCCCCCTTGCCTTCTGCACCTTACCCCTATCCAACTTGCCCCTTCTGGGTTTGGAACACAGGCAACATGGAGTCAGCAGGCATTGCCCTCAGAAGCCTCTTCTGTGGCAGTCCGCCTCTGGAGGCTACTTCAGAAGTGAGTAGGCCGGATACTCCCCTCCTGCCTGCCCAGCTCCCTTTCTGACTGACTCTCCCACTCTGCCTGCCTCCTGCCCTCCTGTCAGCTCGGCCCCTGCAGTGTGCCCTTCTTCTTGGTTTCCGTCTCGCCCTTCACACCCCTCTCCCCATAACCTCTCTGCTTTGGCTCTGACCAAGTTGGAAAAGTCAGAATCCTGTGACAAGCGCAAGCTGAAGCGGGTCCGAATCTCCCTGGCGGTACGTGTGCCCCTCTCCCTGCAGCTCAGGAGCATCAGGCAGGGAGGGCCAGGGTCTAGGTGGGACAAACCTCCCAGAGCCAGGGCTACATCCACCTCCCTTCCTGCCTTCCTCCTAGAGTGACTCAGACCTGGAAGGCGAGATGAGTCCCGAGGAGGTAAGATGCCATTAGATGAGACTATGTTCTTCCTGGGTGTGTTGTCGTCTTGGCTAAAGGATCACAGGGAGGGAAAAGGGCAAGCAGCCTTCTGAGAGAGGAGCTTCAGGCTCCTCTCCCTGATTGTCAGTCTCTTCCTCTCAGATCTTAGAGTGGGAAGAACAGCAGCTAGATGAGCCTGTCAACTTCAGCGACTGCAAAATCGACCCTGCGCCCTTCCAGCTAGTGGAGCGGACCTCTCTGCACAAGGTAGGGCAGGGTAGGTCTGCACCCGGACCAGTGTGATAGTGTGTGAGGAAGGCATGAGAGACAGTATACTTGATGCTGTTCTTAAAACATACTGCTTTAGGCCATGGGAGCCTGGGAGCCAGGCCTCCTTAGCCCTGTCCTACTCCTTGATGGAGCCAGGCATCATTTTTCCTCTGCTCAGACTTACCCCAGGGAATTCTGGACCAAAGCAGCAACAAAGACACAGCTTGAACTGGGTGGGAGCCAGGAGGCCAGGCCAGGGTCAGAGCTAGGCAGGAGGTTGTCAGAACCCAACAAGGCTGATACACACCCACGCTGGAAAAAAAAGGGGGGGGGGGGGGTGAGAAACAGGCCAGATAAGAAGATCTAATAAACAGGCTCACAAACAGTCAAGAAGGGTGAGGCGACTGCAGGGAGGAGATAAACAAAGATGAGAGACACCAGTAGGGGGCTTGGAATGTCAGACCCCAGAGAGTCTGACTTCAGGCATGTCCAAGGAAAGCTGGTGGAGGAGACTCAGAAAGGCTGCTCCGCAGAGCGCCAGTAGCAAGAGGAATGAGTACAGATCGATGGAGGTGGACGGCGGCGTACACACGAGGAAGGCAGGGGCTCCCAAGAGTGGGGTAGCTGGCACCGTTGGGTACCTGAAAGCTGCCCCGTAAAGGCAGGGAATGCAGGCTTCCCAGCCAAAGCCAAGGGGTATTTTAATCACATTTTTTAACAGACTTAATGTGTAAGCCTCCATCGGCAGGTACAGGCCAAAGTGACAGGTAAGGGTCAGTGGTCCCCAGACTTGGGCTTGGGTGGCTAGCTTAGCTACAGACTGTTGCTGAAATGTCAGCCATAGCACGTACAAGCAGAGCCCACGATGGGAAGGTTAGGAGAGAAAAGAAAAACAAAACAGCAGAAATAAAGGAACTTAGACCCTTTTAGATAGAGACCTTAGATAAGATGGGGAACTGCGGAACTGTGGCGAAGGAAGAGGAGATCGGCCACACGGTACTATAAGCCGCACTCCAAAGCCTTTCGTCCCCAGGCATCAGCCATCTTTTGCTTTTTCCTTTTTTGAGACAGGATCTCACATAGCCCAAGTAGGCCTCGAACTCATGACCCTTGGTCTCTCTGGAGATTTCAGGCACATGCCATCATACCCAGCTGTGACGCCCTTGATTCTGTCATCCATGATTTCGATGATAAGAACACTGGCGTGCTTTGAGTGTTTGCTGTGTGCTGGGTACCATGCTAAGATCTTCACGAATGTAATTGAATTCTCACCACCACGCTAGCCAACGGGTCACACGTGTGGGAAGTAGCCGAGCTGGCCCCGACCCGAAGATAGTCTAACCCAAAGTCTGTCTTAACTAAGTCATTCGATGAGAAAATCATCTGCCTGCATGGGTTTAGCAGAGTCAGGCCCAGGGCACAGATCTGGCCCTGATCTCAGAATTCTTTCAGAAGGCCACGCTGTCCTTTTCCCTGTCAGTTCAATTCACTGTTCCCAGGCCTCAGAAATTCAGGCCCTCCAAAGGGCTCCCTGGTGTCCAATTAAATTAAAATGAAAAAGAACAAAGTAGGTGTTTGTTACAAACTTAAACTGTGACAGGAAGGGAAGAAGCCGCTGAGGAACCGCTAACCAAAGTACAAAGAGCTGGAATGATAACATAAAAGATTAGAATTCTAGAGATTCGAGTCTAAATTGGAATCCATTTATTAAGAGAGCAGTAAGCAGTAACCCACTTAGGTGCCAGAGGGGCACTTTCAGAGGGTGAGAACCCGTGGGACTATTTAGGAACCTCTCGGTGGCAGCTAGCTCCAGTGGACAGAGCGGAAGCCAGAGTGCCAGGATGACGGCAAGACTCCTCTCCCTGCTGCTTCCAAGCTTGGCTCTAGAAGTTAAGGAAATCTATAAAGTAGAGGTGGCATAAACTGAGTGTGGTGGTGTATGCCTCCGATGCTGGCACTCAGGAGGTGGAGGATCAGATAGTCATCTGGGAACTACATAGCAAGTCATCCTGAGATATGTGAGACCTTACTTCAGAAAAGAAAAGTTCGCCAGGCAGTGGTGGCGCATGCCATTAACCCTGGCATTTGGGAGGCAGAGGCAGGCGGATCTCTGTGAGTTCGAGGCCAGCCTGGTCTATGGGGTGAGTTGCTGGACAGCCAGAGCTGTTACACAGAGAAACCCTGTCTTGAAAAACAAAAACAAAAACAAAACAAAACAAAAAAAATCAAGACATGTAAAGCCTGGAAACGAGGCACAGAAGAAGGGCAGGCTAGCATGGGCCATTCTAGGGGGTCCTGGGTGCTGCTCAAGTTTTAAAAAGCCATAGAATGGCAGATCCCAGCTGGAGAGCAGGGAGGCAGGAAGCAGGGAAGCGCATTCTGCTGCTGTCTCAGCCCTGGTGAGGACCATGAGGCAGAACTGGGGAGGATGGCACAGATGTAGAGCAGTCAGCCTGGCGGCTGCCAGGCACACATCGTCCACAGACCAACCAAAGCACATTGGCTGCTAGGTCGCTGTGGTTGGGAATGAAGGTATAAGGGAACTGTTTAACAGGGTCCTTAGAGAAGGTGAGGTGGATTATATGACCACAGGCTAAGAGATTACAGTAACATACCTTATAGGAACAGACCTCCTCCCAAGGATCCTGTTAAGGCTAATCTGTAGCATGCAGGGTTTAAGTTATATAACAGGAGATTGCAAACTACATGACAACTGTAGGTTTTGAAGAAACATGACTTTTTTAGTTGCTTTTTTCTTCTTTTTCTTTTTTTGGTTTTTCAAGACAGCATTTTTCTGTGCAGCCCTGGCTGTCCTGGAACTGGCTCTACAGACCACCAGGCTGATCTTGACCTAGGAGATCTGCCTGCCTCTGCCTCCTGAGTGCTGGGGTTAAAGGCGTGCATCACCAGAAAACTGAATTTCTAAGATGGGTGTGGTAGCACACACCTATAATCCAATACTTAGGAGGCCGGGGCAGGAGCAGACTATGAGTTCAAGACCAGCCTGGGCTAAGTAGTGAGACCTTCCAAAAGAAACAAAACTGACCTTGTCCTGGAGCTACAGCTCAGTGAGTAGGAGACTTCCCCAGCATGGATGACACTCTGGCCTTGGTCCTTTATAAGTAAGTTCAGACTCCAGATGGAGAAAATGGGGGAAACTCTCCAAGCCCCTCCCCTTAAGTTAGTATAAGAAAACATTTAAGACAAGACTTGAGGTGCTCAGGAAGCCGTTAGTGCTGCACATCTTGGCCCACCTGTTATGTCAAGAGGCTCACAAGTCCACCCAGAACAGCAGATAACGAATTCCAGGAAATGCTGACAGCTGTCTTCAGGACAGCAAATGGAAAGTGCTGATATGCGAAGGTGGTCACATCTGATCACTGGGGAAGCAACAGTACAAGCAGCCCCGAGGCTTTGGGTTCTGAGCTTTGGGATGCAGGAACATTCTGGTGGCGTCCCCCTCCATCAGTGCCTCCCACGATTCTATTCCACACACCCCCATTTTGTCCTGGACCCCTTTGCCTGTGATTCTGAGCTGCCCCTTTGAATGTCAAGACCAGTGTTTCCTCTCCCTGCTCTGCAGACCCACACCATATTCTCACTGCTGGGAGTGGACCATGCTTACGTCACCAGCATCGGCAGACTCATCGGAATCGTGACCCTAAAGGAGGTGAGGTGACAGAGCCAGAGCCACTTCCACGTGGCTCCCCCAGGGGAGGTGCCGGAGGGGTCCGAGTAGGGAGCAGATGCCTGACTCTCTTACCTTTCCAGCTCCGAAAGGCTATTGAGGGCTCCGTCACAGCACAGGGTGTGAAAGTCAGGCCACCCCTTGCCAGTTTCCGGGACAGCGCCACCAGCAGCAGTGACACAGAGACCACCGAAGTACATGCGCTCTGGGGGCCGAGATCCCGCCATGGCCTCCCACGCGAGGGCAGTCCCTCCGATAGTGATGACAAGTGCCAGTGAGCCCTCGCTGGATGGCCTGTATCCCTTCTGCAAGCAGCAGCAACCAGAAGCTGGAACCCGAGTCCACTCTAGCTGTGGGCTGCCAGCTCCTCCATCCTCCAGCGGGCCTACCTGGAATGTCACTTAGCAGTGCCCTCCCTGGCAGGATGAGGTAGGGTCATGTGGCCCTTGCCCACTCTTTTGAGAAAAGGGCAGAACTAAAATGGGTTTATACTGGAACCTCCAATGACAAGATGTATATAGAAATTTACAAAGATTTTTATATTAATTTAATAAAACAATAAATAGAATAAACACCTAATTAGCCACTCATGTATAGAACACGTGTGCTGTCGGCTCGTGTTTTCTTGGATCCTCTTACCTGCCCAAGCCTATGAGACTCACAGCCACCTACCAACCCCAGGGTCCCAGTAATGTAGGACAAGCCAGAGGCCTCCGCTGCCTGATCAGCAATACCCTGACTGTGCCGGCCCCCTAACCCCTGACGACTGTGGCTACAGCTTGCCATTCAGCCAAGAAAAGCACTGCCTTCTTTCCCAAGGACAGCTACTCCCTCATGACTGTCCATTCATTGGCACAAACCTTCCAGCTGCCCAGGTGGCCCCCTTGTGGTCCTCTCTGAAAGAACATGGCACTCGGCTCTAACAACCAGAGACCTTCCTTTTTCCAGTTCCGCCCTACTGAGAACTCTGTGCACGCCCACACGGACCCTGCCATGCTGGGAAAGGGCCAGGGTTGAGGGGAGGGAGGGGCAGGGAAGGGGGAGGAAGACACACCCTTTCATCATTCCAGTGCCTCCCAGAGAAGATCGGCTCAAAGAACAGACCAGAAACCCCCTGTCTTTAGGAAAAAAGGTTTAGAGACAGTGGAGAGGGGAGCACAGCAGCGCCCAGCTGGGCAAGGGGACCCTTCGGGACGGCTCAATCTGTAGACTCCAGGAGGGCGGGCGGGCGGGCGGGAGCCAGCCCGCGGGTGCGGGTGGTTCAGTCAAGCACGTGGACTCGGTGAAGAGAGAAGCAGAGGAGAAGGGGCACAAGGGAGGGTGGAGGAGGTGGCCGGGCTTCCTCCATCCCCACCCTCCCAGCCCAGCCACACGACCCCCTCAGGTTCACGTCCCAGAAGGAAATGTGGCATTTTGGATTCAAGAAACATGAACATCACTGTCTGCCACAGCTGTAGCCATGCCCCAGGGGTCCCGGGCAAGCCCCGGCAAACCCCAAGAGTGGAAGCAGTACATGCGCCCCCAAACCTGGCCCCTGCCTCCTCTCCAAACACTTTCATGCAAAACACACAATGGAGAAGTGAGCGCTCCCGGAAGCCCTCGGAGCTCCAGAGCCCACGTTTTGGCCGCAGAGGCTCTGCCCCAGGCAGCAGCCAGGGGAAACATGCCACCACTGGGCATGTCTGAGTCACTGGTCCTCAGCCTCCACCTCATCCTCATCTAAGGATGTGACCCCAGAAGAGGCTACATCAGAGACTTGCTGCTGCCTTTCCCAGCTGCCTACAGGCAGTGGGCGGAGCAGCCGGCAGTCCTTGCAAGAATCGGGCTCCTCCTCGGCAGGGGAAAGGCAGGATTCCGTGAGTGGTGAATTGTAAAGTGAGTCCTGGGCCTCCAATGGACCCAGGCTGCGGAAGGCACTTTCCCGGCTGGGGGGCAGTCTGGCAAGGAGCAGCTCTTCACCCAACATCTGGGAGGTCATCCTGGCCGGGGAGCCCAGCAACCCATCCTCCAGGCTGCACAGACTAGAGCACAGGGTGTCCGGGGACACGGTCTGGGAACAGTCGCTCTCAGGCTCCACAGAGCCCTGGCGCACTGGCCGGGAGAATCGACGACCTGTGAAGAGGTCCTGGAGGTGGGGCCCCAGAGACCCAGTCATGTCTGTGAAGGGAAGGAAAAAAAAAGAAAAAAGAAAAAACAACCACCTCATTTCAGTCGGTCAATATGGAAGCCACATGGCCACAGACTTCCCACCTGCCTCCCACCCTTATTTATCATAGCTGTGGGGGCAGGGTTCTACATGAGTGTTAGTAGGAGCTGGATAACCTGAACAAGCCTTTATTTTTGATGCCTTCGTTCCTTTCATGGTGGATTAGAAATTCTAATAATATTTACTTTATAGTGTTAGAACAAGAGTTTGGAACAGAGGAGAGGAGCAATAAATGCAGGCCCCACTGTATGATCACACAGGTTGCTCAAAGCAGTGAAGGCGTGTGTGGCGTCCTAAGCATGGGACTGTGCCCACCAGAAAAAGCTATGCATTTTTAAAAGTTTGCTCAAAGATTCCACACACACTTTCAAGGTTAGCCTGGGCTACACACTAAAGTAGCCTGAGCTATAGTGAGGGCCTTTCTCAAAAAGAAAACAAAACCAATCTTTTAAAAAGACAAAAAAAAAAAAAAAAAAGAATCAGAAAATACTTGTGGTTGAGAGTTCCACCTTGGCCTTAAGCATTCAAATCAGCCCCCTCTGGACCACAGCAGCAGCTTCTTACCTGCTTTAAATGCAGGTTTTGGCCTTGAAAACCTTGTTAATTATCTAGAGGAGCAGGACTAATAGGTGATGTTCAAAGGCAAAGGGTTGGGGGTTGGGGGTTGGGGTAGGGGTCCTGGGAAGCCAGACACCAGAAGCTGCAGGGAAAGCTAGCCACAGAGTCCGAGAAACGGGAAGATGAAAGGAGAGCTGAGCACAGCTGCACAGCCCCCAGGGTTGCAAGCACTGGCCCCAAGCAAGACCCACAGGCTAGCATACACAGATGCTGAGCTGAAGCCAGAACCCTGCCGACTCAGGCCCAGCATGCCTTCCTGTTTACTTGGGATCACTGCCCTGGGAGGTGCTGGGTACTGTACTCATCTGTCCTGCCACGGCCAACCAAAGTCACCTCAAAGAGGTAAAGGCAAAAGTACCACAGATCCTTCTGGAAACATGACTGTACTAGGGGGTCGGGAAGAGGCCCAGGTTCTCTGGGCTTTACTCTGAGAACTGCAGGGCCCACTACACACAGGGAGAGAAGAAAGCTGGTTCAGCCTGTAGGAAAAAGCTGTTCCATTTCCAAACTGCTGGTTCCCCAGTGATCTTTGGCCTCGGAGTGTCAAGGCCATCTATTTCCTCCTATCTGGAAGGCTTATGGTGCCTCTGGGAGGCTGAGAGTGAATCACCACACCTACCAGGCATGCCCACCCCAAGTGGTAGCACCAGTACAAAGCGTTCCTCACCTGAGTCAGTTCCCCCAGTGAAGTCTTCATCGTAGGAGTCGTCAGTGGAGTCATCCCCATCCACTGAAGACCATGCTCGGAGCTTAGCTTCTGCAATAGCAAACTGCTCGGCCACTCCTATCAGAGAGACACAGCATTCACTGGCACAGGAGCTGAGCTAAGGCAAGATGTCCCTGAGGTCTCTGGGCAGAGAGAGGTGTGTGGAAAAACTCCAGCCCCCATGCCAGATCCAGTGAGCTCAGAGGCAGCAGCCCTGTGACAAATCTGTGGGGCTAATTCCCTTGCAGCGGCGGCGGCGGCTACCCACCTGCTGCAAAGCGAGCTTCTTGTTCCCCCTCACTGAGGTCTGAATAGGAGGAAAAGGCTGATTCCAAAGCTGCAGGTGAGTCGCTGGGCTTGCTCCAGCCCTTCCATTCGATGAGGTGAGCCACGCGGCCCTGGGCCATGGCTGTGGGCTTAGTCACGTGGTCCTTCACCACCTGGGAAATACCTGGAGGTGGGAAAGAGAAGTCGGGTTACAGTCAGTGCTCTTAACTGCTGAGCCGTCTCTCCAGCACCAAAATCTCTCTCCTTTTTTTCTTTTCTTTTTTTTTTTTTTTTTTTTTTGGTTCTTTGAGACAGGGTTGCTTTGTGTAGCCCTAGCTGTCCTGGAACTCACTCTGTAGGTCAGGCTGGCCTCAAGATCCGCCTGCCTCTGCCTCCCGAGTGCCGGGATTAAAGGCGTGCGCCACCACTGCCTGGCTGGGCTAGGATTGATTTGCAAAAAGAAATCCCAGAAAATTCCCACAGGAATCAGTCCCACAAGACACGAGGAAAGACAAAGTGGGCAGAAGAACGGAAGTGGGGTGCATACCATGCAGAGAAGATCTGGCCAGCGCAGCGATCTCCTGGATGGTTAGGGCTCTCCGGGACTTGGGCAGCATCGCGACTGTATCTCCAACATTCACCTTGAGTAACACCATCAGAAGGTCAGTGCCCCTCTGACAGAAATGACCTTCTTTCCAACATGCTCCTCCCTATTCCAAGGTATCAGTGGGAGCTGGGAGCAAGGAGCAGGAAGAATGCCAGGACGACACACAGGCCCTAGTGGCTACTGGCATGCAGAAAAGGCTAAGAAGCTGGAGTCTATGAACTGTACTCCTAGGGAGCAATGGAGACTCAGGCCCAAGGAAACAGTTCCCCAGCTCCCAGCAGGGAAGGAGACAGCTGAAGAAGTGAAGAATTATGGAATAGAACCTCTGAAGACAGAGAAAGGCCGGACGGCGGTGGCGCACGCCTTTAATCCCAGCACTCGGGAGGCAGAGGCAGGCGGATCTCTGTGAGTTCAAGGCCAGCCTGGCCTACAGAGTGAGTTCCAGGACAGTCAGGGCTACACAGAGAAATCCTGTCTAGAAGAAAACAAAACAAGACAGGAAAGGAAGAAAGGGAGACAGCTAAGGCAAAGACTCAAGGTTCCCTTCCCCGCTGTCGCCAGGTACACGTCCCAGCTCTTTCCAGGCTGCCTATCAGAACCACACGTTCAGCATAACCAAAGCCAAACCATTCTCTCCCTCCCATGTGGCTTTGTTTTCCAACGTCCTTTTTTTTTTTTTTTTTTTTTTGGTTTTTCGAGACAGGGTTTCTCTGTGTAGCTTGGTGCCTTTCCTGGAACTCACTTGGTAGTCCAGGCTGGCCTCGAACCCACAGAGATCCGCCTGGCTCTGCCTCCCGAGTGCTGGGATTAAAGGCGTGCGCCACCACCGCCCGGCCCAACATCCTTTTTATCAACTGCCATTCTCCATTTCACTGGGGTCCCTGCCTCAGAATTACCATCCACTCTCCCCCTAAGCTTTGCCTGTACATATCTGATCTTAAAACCTAGCGAGGGGCCAGGATGTAGCTCCGTTGGTACAACGCTTGCCTATCATTCAGGAAGCATTGTGTTTGGTCTCTAGCATCTGTGGTACATAATGCCAGCACCTGGGAGTTGCAGGCAGGAGGATCAGGAGATTAAGGTCATCCTTGGCTACCTAGCAAGTCGAGGCCAGCCTGAGCTACATAAGACCCTATCTCAAAACAAACAACTACATCGCCAACAACAGAGAATCCTTATTGATTATCCCTCCAAGCCTTCCCCGACCCCGTTCATGTCTGTTCTGTTCCCACTGCCACTTCCCTTAGAACCTCAGTGCCCCTCCCAGGTTGGCACAGGTCACTGATCCCTAACCATCCATGCTACTTGTTTAGCCTAGAAGGCTGTGGATACAATCTTTTCTGTTCTTTCATGCTTCAGCACTTCCCACAAGTTGGCTTTCTCAACTTCCCGATTTTGACTGAAATATCACCCCTCAGAGGAGCCTTCCTGACACTCGGTCCTCTCACTGGACTCTCCAATTAATCACTATTTTATATCATTGCACCATTCATGGAGCCAGCTTGCCAGGTATAAATATGGCTCCCTTTGTTGGACTTTATCTCTTTAAGGAATTCTGTCTGTTATGGTTACTGCTGCAACCCAGTGTTTAAACAGTGCCTGGTAATAAGTAAATGTATGGGCTGAATGAACAAGATTATATATATATATCTTCCCAAGAATACAATGAATCAAAATGTCATTTCAAATTTTGTACAATGATGCATATGCATGAAATGTCATAATGAAAACCATTATTTTGTATGCTCACTAAAATTTAATCTCAAAAAATTGGTTTTTTTGGGGTGTGTGTGTGTTTTAGGGGAAAAAAAAAACTTTTTAGAGAGATGGAGAAAAGGCTCAGTGGTTAAGAGCACAAAGGACCCAAGTTTGATTCCCAGCTCCCACATCAGGTGGCTCACAACCTCCTGCTAATTCAGCTCCAGGAGATCCAACACCTCTGGATTCCATGGGCAAACCCACAAACAGATGCATACACCTAATTAAATTTAAAATTTTTAAAGTTTTTTTTTTAAAAAAATAAATAATATTGTCTTTTCTAGGCTCTCCCTCTGTTAGTCGGGCACTTAAGGACTCCATAAGGAGACCTGTGCCTCTCCCTGGACCTCCTTGAAGTCCAGCACTCATTTCTGCCCAGTGCTATCCCGGCTCCCCCACCTTCCCTGTCAACAAGCAGCCTGCCTGCCTCCAGGGAAAGGAACCAGCTTTTTAGGCCAAGAGGGCCATCCTTGCCTTAGGAAATGTTGTTCCCTGTCACTTAAGGCCACAAGTGTCACTTCGTAATAGACTTACTCTTTTCCTTTGCCCCCCACCCCTCAGGCATGCGTGCCGCTCTGCTCCATACTGCCTTGTGTCACTCCCGAGGGAGCTGGAGAAGGTAGGGTCAGAGTTTTAATCCATCTGGGCTTCTAACTCCATCCTGCACTTGACTTAATGCTCCTTGACAAGCCCCAGCAAATGTTTTCCTTGGCTGAACATAATCGATGCACACACCCCCTTCCCAGCATTACCTAATTCTCCTCCATCATGGTTGGTTCCACCTGGCACAAGAGGCCTCCACCTGCCCCTTGACCTCAGGCCCATCAATCCGTCCCTCTCCTTCAGTACCTGGCTGACAGGGCCTCCAGATTGGCGCCGATGGCCTCTGGCCAGGCCTGTGGGAAGGAGAACCTGCCGGGTGTTTCCTGGCTCGCTCTCCCTCCCTCCCCTCGCTTCCCCTAGCCGCTGCCATCCATGAAGGGGCGACGCTCCGCGCAGCTGCGGCCCTGGCCCAGAGAAAAGGTGTATATCTCCGTGGCAACCCATCACCATGCAACAGGGTCTCCCGGGATACGGCCTGGGATGCGCTGACGTCAGCACCGAAGGCGCTAGCAAGCCAGCCCGCTGGCACCAAGCCGAGCGGAGCAGACCGGCGCGGGGGCGGCCTGCCGGATAGCGCCTCCGCTTGCAGGAAAAAGAGAGTCCGAAGCAGGATGGTGAGGCAGGAACAGGGAGGGGTCACACGAACCCTAAATGTGAACATCCCCCACCACACACACACACACACACACACACACACACACACACACACACACACACACACACAAACATGCACAGAAAAGGCCCAGCACCTCTGGCAAGTCCTGGCTGTCTACAGAAGAAGGACGCGGGGACCGGCTCCAGCCTCGGAGAGTCCGAGCAGATCCCAAGGAAGACAGAGAAAGACCACGAGGGAGTTCGATCCACTCCACAGCCCAGGCAGGGTCCGAAGCCACTGAGGATTGAGAGGAAAAGGTGCTCCGTCTGGATCCCCACTTCTACCAAGATCCCCATTTTCATCATGTTGCCATGTCATTTTTTATTACCCTTCCCCCATCTCTCAGGCAATCTGAGACCACCACGTACTCTCCCGTACCCTGAAACCCCCATCCCGCATTTCTTCCCTTTTGTGGCAGTTCAATGAACTCCTTCCTCTACAAATATTTTGCCATCAAAACGTAAGGTGAAGCCCAAAACGTGGGTAAATTCTGACTCTTCCCCAGTTTCTCAACCCTTGGAAAGTGCATGAAATTCTCCCACTAATACTGTTGCCATCTCCCACTTTCCCTCTCCTCTCCTACTCCCTCTCTCCAATCTCAACTGGTTTAGGACTCTATTCTTTTCCAAAAAAACCATGTTTTATTTATTTTTTTAAGTTTTTGCCCTTGTAAGTCATTCCCTAATAGCCCCCGCCTGAGTCTGGTTCCAATATCTACACCACAGTGATTTTCCTCTCGGTATCTGGTATACCTTCCTCCTCAGCTTCCCATCACCTCCCAGATCACATCCATGGTCTCTGGTCTCACCTCTGCGACTTGTCTGACAAGTCCATCTTCCTCCAGGCCCTTCACGCTGCCACAGAAACATTTTGCCCAGCACAGAAATCATAGGCATGCTGGCTATGTCGATGCAGAGAACCCAAAGCTCGAACTGCTTCAGGCTCAGCTCCCAGTTCTATTCTTGTTTTGGCTCCGGATGCTGAGCCAGTCCCCTCCCCACTTGGAACTTGTGCCTAGTCACATAAGGAGAACACTCCTCCTGTCTCATAGCTTTGAGGAAGTGGGAGTGCCAAGGGCCTAGCCAAGTTCTCTTGGGCTTGTGGAGCTGCAGCTCGTCCTTAGCGTACACAGTGCCAACTGGCCAAGTACAGAACAACTAACCTTTTAGCTGGAGCAGCCGGCTCTGTCCCTGAGCCTCAGCCAGGTGGTGGTCCCCAGAAATGCTACCAACCAGAAAGAAGACAGGTTACTGGCTATCCCTGACCCCCCCCCCCCCCCCCCGGCTGGTACCTCGGGACTCTCAAGGCTAGCGCTAGGTCAGCCAGTCTTCCCTAACTACAGAAAGGGATGGCTTTCTGAACTCCAAGCAGACCAGGGAAATCACAGCACCCTGCTGCTTCTCAAATTCATAACCCATGAGGTTAATCTGGGGACTACAAGTCCCAGAATTCATCAAGGGAAGTACAAATCTCAGCCAGAATTTAGTGGTAGAGCACCTCAAATATCAACCACACTGATGTTTTGTGTGACTGACCACCTGCTTGGAAAGCCTAGGACCCATTCCAAATCCATTCCTTGACATAGAAGCAAGGTAAGCTGGCAGACCTCAGATGGCCAAAGCTAAGGCAGTGCACCCCACGTGTCTACAGGGAGACTAAGGCCTGAGCAGGGGTCAGTTGCTTTAGGAAGACCTGGTGGCCTGCCTGGACTTTTTCCCCCAGAGTAAAGGTGATTTGGGGTGGGGTGGGGGTTATTGGAATAAAATGTCTGTGAGCATGAGAGACTTATCAGTTTGCTCACAGATGCTCCACATGGGGCTTCAGTCCCTTTAATCAACCAGCTGGTTCTGAAGCCCGGAGCAAGTGTTAGGCAAAAACTCCGTGGTAGGGTAACTTGGCCAGTTTTTCCAGGCTGACTCCTGAGGATGACAGCACCCAGCTGGGAGAGGCAGGATCACAGCAAAGGGTGTCTCCTAGGACAGTGAGGTGAGAAGCTTGTGTAGGCAGAAAGAAGTATGTAGATACAAAAGGCTAGTTGCCAGGAGCCAGGAAGGTGGAGGCCGCAGGTTGCCAAGCGGATCCCAGGCTGTGCCCTGCAGCCACCCTCAGCAGCAGGAACACAGACAGAAGGCGAGTACACCACGGAAAAACCCAGCAGAAGGCAGGCCACAGAAACAAGCCAGTCCATTAGATTAGCCCCCTCCCGGTTCGCTCATCTGGCCCGACCCGCCTCCCTGGCGCAGGCTCCTCCCTCTCCTTATACCAGCCCCCTCCTCACCGCCCCTACCACCCACGGCCCCACCGGGCAGCTGTGTAGCCCGACTCCCTATCCATGCTCCGGCCTCCGCCTCTTACCCTGACCGGCTGAGCGCCGAGAGCCAATACAGCCCATGGCAGGGAACCCAGGCACGCTAGCCCGCGCTTGGGACCCGGGCCATCGCCTTGCAGAGGGTCGGGCCGCGGTCACCACCGGGGAGGGGAAAGCCTGAGAGAAGGGGAGGGGGTGGGAGCAGCGCGTCTGCTGCCGCTCCCGGGAGAGGGGAACAGGGCCGGTGACGTAAGCGTGGGGCTGTGCCCACCCAGAGCAGGCGGGGCAAGTCTACGTCACAGCCACTCAGTAACAGCCTAGGTCTTCAAACAGCCTGCATCTCCAGTCCACTGCGGAGCCACACTGAAGACAGACGCCGGTGGGCCACGCGGTCCTTTTACACAGGACAGCCCTTTAATAGCTTCTATAGCTTTAAGGGTCTTAAACCCCAGGGCCTGGATCAATCGGAGCAAAGGTCCTAAGCACCCTACTACACTAATATTCCCACATGTCAAAACGGGGAGCCCAACCCTCCAGAAAACCAACTCCCTGGGTTCCCAAAAAATTCACTGACCGTGAAAGAGGCATGTATCAACATTGATAGAGTACCAAGTCTAGGAAGGAAGATGTCCACCTACCCATACTCCTCCAAAGGAGATCAGTAAAGAGGCAGTGAACTTAATTGAATTCATGTTTAATAATTACAGGCACCGTGCCCCCCCCTTCCCCCTGCCCAGGCAGCAGCAGGGGTGGTGCAGGGGCTGGGGCATATGCCCCCAGCAGCGAGGACGGCAGTCCCAAGAGTGATTTCAGAAAATAAAAAAGGACCCTAGAGGCAGGTGGTAGTGCCCCTCCCCCCCGCAAAGACACACCAAATTTCAAGACTTTATATATATCTCTGTGCCCCGGGGGGAGGAGAGGGACACTTGGCAGCATCCTGGAGGGGGGCCCCAGGCAGCCCCAAGCCATCCTGCCTCATCAGCCACTTTATTAGCTCAGACACATCGCACTACAGGCACCCACTGCCACCGCCGCCGCTGCCGCCGCCCCCCTGCAGTCCAGGCGGCTGGCTGGCTGGGCCATCCACGTGTCCATGGCTCCAAGTCCCCGGCCCCACCCGCCATCAGTTGTGATCAGACTCCTCCTCCTCAGCCTCCCGAAGCCAATTGAAGAAGGCTGTGACGGACTTAAGGGCCACCCCCTTGCCCTGCTGCTCCGCAGGGTCCTTGCTGCTCTCCCAGCTGTAGAAAGCGTCCTCCTTCACCACGTCCTCATCATAGAGAGCGTCAAAGAACATCCGAAGCAGGTCTGCAAGCCACAAGGACATCAGTTAGGTGACTAGTCTGTACTAGAGATCCCTCCCAAAGAGACTCTGAAAACAGCCCTGACCTACCATCGTGGCATTCAGAGTGACTCTGACAGAACGCTAATCTCATGACATAGGAGACTACCAGCCTAAGAATGAGTTACTTGGCCATTAGCATCCTTAGAAACAGGCATGTAACCCCAAATATTTGGGAGGCTGAGGCAGAAAGATAAGGATCAGAAGTTCGGAGCCAGCTCTGGTAGCTTAGCAAAACTGTCTGAAAAGGGGAGAAAACATTAGGCCAAGCGTGGTGGCACACACCTCTAACCCCAGTGCTCATGAGGCAGAGGCAGGCGGATTGTTCCAGGCCAGCTAGTTCTACATATGAGCCTATGAAGGGGGAAGAAGAATCAATTCTCCACTTTTTGGCTAACATCAAATGTAGAGTCAAAGGAGAGAAAGGAAAGGAAAATAGTTAGGCACTGGGGTCCACAACTATAATCCTATTACTTGGAATATAGAGGCAAGACGTTCCAATGTTAAGGCAAGCCTAAACTACATAACTAGTTTGAGGTCAGCCCAGACTACTTAAGATTGGATCTCAGAAAACAAAATAAAGAGTTGGAAACCAGACATCTGAGTTCAACCCTGAGTCCAGCAATGGCGAGCCAGGCACAGATCCTGACACACACACTTGAACCCTCTCTGGCTTCTAGAGTGCTACACTCTTAGGCAGAGTTCCTCAGAGTCTGATCCTTATCTTTCTGCCTCAGCCTCCCAAATATTTGGGGTTACATGCCTGTTTCTAAGGATGCTAATGGCCAAGTAACTCATTCTTAGGCTGGTAGTCTCCTGTGTCATGAGATTAGCGTTCTGTCAGAGTCACTCTGAATTCTGCACAAACTACAGCAGGTGAACGAAGCCCAAGGACCTCGGCCTAGTTGTAAGGTGAAATCAATAATGGCTCACCAGTGAGTTCAAGCCACGACATGCCTCTGGGCATCCCACCTGTGTGTGGGCACGACTAACCCTTGACTTACCCCACATTTCTCCTCTAAAACCCACGCACATTCTGAGGACCCTATATAATTGCTTATCTACTTTGCCCTACACATTTAAGTCCACATTTATCCAAGTTAAACATAAAAGCTATTTTTCAATTACCCTACAGTTAAACATGATTTTTATACCGTTTTCTTCCTGTCTTAGCCAACTATCTTAATTTTTCCATTTCAGAATTTGACCCCTACTCTACAAATATTGTATTTTACTAAAAAGATCTCAATGTTTTAATCCAGCCTTTAATTTTTAGGTAGGCTCCTAACCAAACTCTGTAGCATCTAGCATTTTCCACCACTTCCCTATCCTAAATTTTCTTTTGTTCACTGTGCCCTGCCCTGTCT